ACAGCAGAAAGGAGGAGACATCTAGAACGATAACTTCGTCTTCTAGCTTCATTTTTAATAATGAAATGCTACCTTAAAATCCCTATCGGATCCTTTCGAACCGATAGAGCGTCCCATACTTAGTTCTTCCGATAGACTCAATACGCTTTGTCCAGTCCCGTGTTCCTTTCTGACTAGAGTGTCGGAGCGTAATCGGGAGGGCAACCCCTATCCTGTGACCCAAGATCTCTTTCTTCTCTCTTGACATTGCAGGCTAGCCCATCCCCGTAGAGTTTGAATATCCCCTGCAGTACACGATGACCAATCAGATCCTTCCATGTGGCATCTAGAAATTTGCTCCCGAACAGTTGACGCCAGAAGGAGGGGAGAAGAACAAGCCTAATGTCGAACGACGATTCGCCGAGCCCACCGGAACAAACCCATGATACATCAAGTCTCCCCTTTTATATCCTCTCAATATTTATACTTTACTAAAGAACACCGAGAACAAGGACACTTGAACATGGTTGCATCACTATTAGAAAATGCAAAGTCTAAGAACCCTTCAACCCCATTGATGTACTCTTGAGATAAACGTGGTTTGCTAATCCAAGATTTATCCATATCAACCTAAATCATTGTAAGTAACACAAACAAGATTTCAAGCTTAAAAAAAAATAATACGTGATTCCTCAAGCAAACAAACTAATCTAGTATAATACCAAATCAAATCTAAGAATGAACTATTTACCAAATCTAATCTAAGAATGACTCATCTTCTTCACAAAAAAAAAAAATTAAGAATGAACTATCTACAAAACAAAAGTACTTGCAAAAGTAAACTAATTCTCTCGATTTCCATGTGTATCAGCAATTCCAGTTCGAGAACAATCACACACAACTAAGTACATTAACCAGAAGTGATCTGCACAAACAAAAACAATCAGAGAACAATCACACACAACTAAGAAATCAGCAATTCTAATCCGATTCGAGTTAACACAAATCAAATAAAATCAAACGAGAAACATTGGAGAGAAGTTATCTCTAACCGTGAAGATGAGAGACGATCGGAGTGAGTGAAACGAATGGAGATCCTTGATCGGAGAGAAACGAATGGAGATCCTTGATCGGAGAAAAACGTTCATTGATCAGAGAAAAACAAATCGAGAGAAACACATATCGTATACTACCAAATAAAATCAAACGAGAAACATTGGAGAGAAGTTATCATTAACCATGAAGATGAGACACGATTGAAGGGAGTGAAACGAACGAAGATCCTTGATCGGAGAGAAACGAATGGAGATCCTTGATCTGAGAGAAACGATCCTTGATCAGAGAGAAACAAATCGATAGAAACCCAGACGCAGAGATCCTTGAAAAACGATCGATCGAAGTGAAGCTGAACTCTACCCAGACTTTTTTTTTCTAATAAACTTTTGTGTTGCATATGATTAATTTAGTAAATATTAGTTTAGCTTTGGTTTACGATAACTAAAAATGTTTAAAACTCTGGTTTAAATTTACCTTCTAGCATCATTTACAAATAAGTGATGCTAAATATTTGGGTTTAATTTCATTTATAAAGAAGTGATGCAACTTTTTATGTTTTATTATCACTTCCAATGATTGATGCTAATTTTCCTGATTAATTTTTAGTATAACATCACTTTTAAAAATGATGTTATAAAACTGATGCTAATTAGCAGTTTTTTAGTAGTGTAAGAGGGTGATGAGACTGAAATTTGTTTTAAAATCAGTTACTTATAGTTGTAGCAAAGATTCCTTCTCTATTTTAGGAATCTGCATCGAAAAGTAAAATATAATTGAGCTTAGAAACCGTCTATGACTAAATAGATAGTTTTTTTAAGATGAAGGTTTATGTCCCGAAACTGTAATCACAATAAAGAGAAGGGCTACAGACTTCTTTAATACATTATACTAACGAAACAAACAACAGCAAATTCTCAGCTTTTTGTTTCTTAGAAACTTCAAGTATCATCTGCACAAAAAAGATTTAAGAACTTAGAGAATTTAGTTTTTTTAGCAAAAGAGCGTTGTCTCTTTATGGTTAAAATTTCAAAAACAGCCATGCAATAAAATATTGGTATTGTCTTTTCAGTTCAGAAAATATAAATAGTTTCAATTGGTTTGTCTCTTTTGGTTTTGCTCATTTGTTGCAGATCGTTTTTGTTTTCGCAGTCACATGTTCAAGACTGGCAAGGAGTTATAGTGTCGTTGTAGAAAGAAGAGAAGAAGACACAATAGCTTGGATGCATTCTGTCCAGAAAGTGTATACAGGTAATGTTCCATGTCACTGTAGAATCATAAGTCTAAAATTATGTTTAGAGATCAATGTTAAGGAAATATAAGATAAAACTAAAAGAAACAACTTTTTCAACTTTGATATGTTCCGTATAAAGATTAAAACTTCAGGACACAATCAAAATTCAAGATTTGGTTGGGTAGTCTGGGAAATAAGTGATTTACAGGAATTAGAGAATGTCATTAATATTATTTGTTAGATAATCAAATTGAAATATTAAACAAATAATTATAGTTTAATATAAAAACACTTCATTTCCGGTTTCGAAATCAATCTTTTCTTTTGTTTGTTGTCTGCTTCATGTGGCACTTCTTGAGTTTGTGATGTCCGCAAATTCAATAATATAAGAGAAATATCATAAATAATATTAAAAAAATTAGATATAGGATATTATTGATCATATATGTAATCTAAGCACAGTATGTTTATTCATTTTTCCTTGATCTTACATTCAGGTTTCAGGTTTAAACTGGTTTTCAGAAGTGAAATATTTCATCCAAAAAACAAGTTAGTCTGTTATCTCTTAAAATAGTATCATAAGGTCCTTGATCTAAATTGGAGACATATATGTAGTTGACTTAATGGAAAAACATAGTAAAATATAAAAACTTACTTGTAGCAAAGAGTTTTATGTGTATTGGAATTTGCCTCAACTTAAAATAGAGATGAGCTCAAAAATCTTTTCGCCTAAATGAAATAGTACACTTTAGGTGCTTTTTATATCTCTTTAGGTGTTGTTTTTTGACAGAAGCATGAATTTTCGTACCCTGAAAAAAAAAGTGAAAATTTTAGATATGAAAATAGTGTACGCTAGAATAATATACCTCTTTGTCTGCCAAAACCATTTCGATTGATTCTCCTGATGCAAAAGCAAACTGCTTCCACATTTGCAAAATTTTGACCTGAAACCCCCAACTGGATTTTAAGGGCTTAATATTTTGAACAGAGGTAACTGGAATTTTGGAAACCATGTGGAATTTTGAGGCGTAGAAAGGTGTGAATGATATGATAAGCTCTGTATTCTATTTATATTAAAGTCAGTTAGGTTTTTTCAGCAGTTGTTTTTGGCTAATCTTTTTGCTAATATTTTCATGCATGTAATGTCAACGAATTATGAGATGAGAATATTCTAATAATGATGAGAATGATTAGATCTGTAATTATGAGTTTAATGTTAGATAGTTTCCGGGAATGTAGGAATTTTGTTATATTCATAGACGGTGAAAATGTTTAGCAGTTAGCCGAAATATGGTCATATATTATGATTTATGAATATTTTTGATTTATGACAAACATATATTAGATTTGAGTTAATGGTAGGTAGTTTGCGAGAAATTAGGATTTAGTTGAACTCATGAACAACTTAAATGCATGTTAGTTGCCATATTTTGAGTCAGAGATATTCTGATATATTATATTCTGATATATTATTATATATGATTTTGATTGAATTTTGTCAAACCGGTGATTCTTGAGGTTTTTATGAATCTGGCTTTCATTTAAGTTTGTGGGATCCATGTTTTTTGAAATGGACTTTTGGGTTAGGTTTTTCTGTTTGGACATGGTCAGAGTTATGTAAGATGAGTTAACTCAGTTAACTCGCATGTTTTGTCCCTACATATATTTGTTGCCAAACACAATTATGACGTAATGGCGATTGACATTTATCGTAAATACAATGATTTTTTCGATTGTTTGAAAAATATACTTTTTCAAATAATATTGTAGAGATAGAGATATATATATATATATATATATCATAAAATTTAGGAATAACCATTTAAACCATATTGTATGTTTTGAAATGGCATCTACTCCTCCGAATGTACTTATATAATCAGATCTGTTTTTTTTTACACATTTGAGGTGTAATTTATATAATATTTTTATTTGTATTTGCTATTTTTGTTTTTTAGGTTTAAAACAAACATGACTATATGTTAAAAAATGATGGATAATTAATTATAAAAAAGTAATCTAAAACATAGACAATAAGTATATATGAATAATTTTACTATATGTTGTATCAGCTATTAAACCAAAACATTAAAAACACAAAATATTGGTGACCAAAAGAAAAAAGAAGAATAATGGATTCCTCTTCATTTCTTAATTTTTTATTATTTACTAGAAATATTTTTTCCACGTCATTCTTTACCATTTTCTATTCTAAAAGAAATTATATAATAAAACTATTTTTTTATCAAATTTGGAGAAGAGCAAAAAATTTTTTTTTTCATTTCCATTCATTCTTATTATTTTTTTTTTCATTCCTATTATTTTTTTTAATAATCACCGGAAATATTTACTTGACTGAATAGTGTTTTTCTAATTCCATTCAACAAACTCAAATGATATATTTATTAATTTTCATCCAATAGTATTCCACAATTCTTTATAATTCCACATGTACCCAGTTAGAGTCGAAATCTAGCACAAGAGTAAATTCTGATTAAAAGATCCGACCTGAACCAAATCTTCTTAGACATCAATTCAATGAACATCCCCTAAACAGAACAAAACTAGAAAACCACAAATCTCCTAGACTCAATAGTCAATACACACCTTTCGGTTTCTAAATATGGTTTCTCAAATTAGAACACGAACAAAAACCCACGACATACATATGTATATCGTTTTCTTTTACCACATTTACCAGACAAAACTCGGTTTAAACCTGAGCTGAATCCGGCTAAGAAGATTTAGAAGGATCAAATATTTGACCAGCGAACAAAACAGTTCCGGTTCTGTCTTCTCTAATCAAGAAAAGAAATGGATGATCAGCCACGAATTCTATCCTCTCTTGATAGCTAAGATACACAAAACAACTGCTAGCCGCCGCTGCTTTGGTGCCTTCTTCATCAATCTCGACACAAGCTTTATGGTACAAAGCATCCGCTTCATCCAATTCCAAACAACTGAAATCCCTTGAAACCGAGAATGCGAAAGAGATCTTAAACTTTGGGATTCTGAAGTTACCAACCTTAACATTCTCTCTCGGAATGTACTTGTCCACAAATCCAGGAGTAGATGCCATTTTCTTCATAAGATCATACAATCCATCTTTCTTGTCTGGGAGATAGAAATACATTGAGAATTCGCGATTTTTATCGCCATAGCCTTGTCGGTATGGTAGTCTAAAGACCTTGAAACCCTTATAAGAAGCTACGTATTGTTTCTCTCGGTTTCTCATAAATGGCACATGCACTGACGAGCCATCGAGAAGGTGAAACTCTTCCACTATTGTATATTAGTTAGGACTCCTTCCAATTTCTGATGTGTGTTAAATTACATGGGCTTCCAACCTAAAACCAATTGGCAGTAAGTGGATTGACCCATGCTCTTTATATATTAGTTATGATCTCTTCCAACTTTCGATGTGGGATATTATCCCTAATACGCCCCCTCGAGACGATGGCTAATTTGGTCATTGATCTCGGGCCATCTTTAGGTCACATATCGATTATGGATCGGGTTGTATTATTTGGATCGGGCTCTGATACCATGTTAAATTACATGGGCTTCCAACCTAAAACCAATTGGCAGTAAATGGATTGGCCCATGCTCCTTATATATTAGTTAGGATTCCTTCCAACTTCCGATTGGATATTATCCCTAATATTGTATACGACTTGATGAATTTTTCTTTCCATGCTCCTTTGAAGTATAATGCGTTTCCATAAACCTCATTCGTTTTGCTTGAAACGGATCCATGAGGAAGAAGGTCTTCGATGAGACCATTGGTGTGATGTGAAGCCCATTTATTCACCTCTGTACGCACTTGTTCAGCCTTCAAAAAGAAAAAAAAGAAAAAAACATGTCAGTAAATTTTAATAGTTTGGCTAATGGTATTATGATGCTTTTATTTAAAGTTTGATTTCTATAAAGAAAAATAAGATTTCCAGTGGCAAAGATGGGGTTTACTTTTCCAAAAACATCACCAGGGATTTAAAGAGTTACTATATGGTTTTAACTTTTAAGGTCTCTTAGGGTTTGGCCGTTTGGGAATCGTTAAATATAATAAAGCAATAGATGTTTTTCTTTATACTCCCAAGCGAGCATATACAGAGAGTGTTTGCTAATCATCAAGTATTTTGATTTCAACAAAAAGATAAGTTTCAGATCCATCACCAACAAAATTTAAATTAGTTTTAATTAGTTAATGATTTCAATATATTTCATCTGCCATATTTACAAGTTATCCAACTATGAGGAATGGGGAAAGTCTTATTCACCTTGGATCTGAAATCTACTCGAGCGAAAGTAGCCTTAAAGACATTCACAAAGAGATCCTTCAACGAATGGTTAACCGGGAGTGATTGGTCGACCCAAACGCCGTTAACCGCCGAGATTTTGGGGCCACCACTCGCACTGCCGTCAGCAAAAACGGTGGTGGCGATCTCGCTGTAGACGGCGTTAAGCTCGTCGGAATTGGAGCCGGAGCTGGCAGCCTTCATTGTGAGCGCGGCGTTGATTGATGAAGGAGAGAAGATGAAGTTAGAGTTTCTTGCCTTAGAAGCGATTACTTCATGCATAAGGACCAAATCGCCGTAGTTTCTCTTCTCCATTGCTTCTCTCAAATCCATCTTTGGTAGAGAGGGGCTTGTGATTTGCTGACTTTCTTGCGTTTTCTTACTTGCTCGATACACTCCCGAGAGAGAGGGGTATGGTGTTTCTGAGGATGTGCAAAGTGTTTGTTTCTTTATCTTTGGATTCATCATCATCTTTGCAAGAAAGGAACTAGCGATTGCGAATCGTTGACCTATCATCTTTTTTAAGTTTTCTGTTCGCAGAAATACTCACATACATGTGAATATATATATATATATAGAGAGAGAGAGAGAGAGAGAAGATACAATAATAGATACTTTGTCTAATCAATGAAGATAGAACTAGGGTTTTGCAAATTTTCGACCTAAATTGTTTTTAAGTTTCCAAACGAAACAGCGTGCGTTTTTGTCTAGGGTGTGGCCGTAAAATATCCAGCCGAGCTCAAATCGACCAAAACCAAACCATAGTTTATATGCAAAACTATATGGTTAATAATTGTATAAATGTATTTAATTAATTAACTAATTATATAAAATAACATTCATCCAACCACATCTTTTTATTTTTTTTAAGTATGATTAATCCAAATTAAAATTTAGTTTGTTTAATTATTTATAGTCTTACTAGATTAGGATCCGTGTATACACACGAGTTTGAAAATTATTTTTAAACTTGTAAATAATAAATTAACAATAAAAATAAATGGCTTTAATTATATTTATATCTGTATTTTTATTCGAATTTTTGTTAGTTAAAATGTGTTCTTACACGTGATAAATTTTAATTAATTGACTCACATACATTTCAGTTATTTTAACTTAGATTGTGATCCCTATATACAATGATTTATATTAACTATTACATAACCCGCTAAAAAGAAACTGGATATAAAAAAAGTAAAAAACAAATTAGATCATTGTGAACATTAAAAATTAAGAATGAAAACATTTTCGCAAAACTACTTACAATAGAACTGATTGAAGAAACTCGCTTTCTCCTTTGTTTCATGTTTACTTTTATATTTTTCACAAATATGACTAACATAAAAAGTGAAAAACAAAATTAGATCATTGTGAACATTAAAAAGGTAAGATTGAGAACATTTCGTAAAACCACTTATAATAAAACTGATTAAAGAAATTGACTTTCTCTTTCATACTATGTTTACTTTTATATTTTTCACAAATATGAATAAACATGAAAAAGTATAAAAAAAAATTAGATTACTATGTGTGAACATAAAAATATAGATTGAGAACATTTTCGTAAAACCACTTATAATAAAACTAATTAAAGAAACTGGCTTTCTCTTTCATTCTGTAATTATTTTTATATTTTTCACAAATATGATTTTTCTTTAACAAACTCTCATCGAGAATCTCATTTGGTAAAATGATATCAGAGCAAAATTGGCTTTCTCTTTCATTTTGCTTCTGTAATTCTGATTATTTTTTACCACTTCATTAGTTTTTCATCTTATCCAATTGATTCGAGTTAAGAGAAGAATCAGCCTAGAATAATTATAAATGTTTTTATGTATTTATAAGGATGTGAGTAATAATTTCCTTTTTTTTAGGACTAGTTTTTACTTTTTGTAAACGGTTTTTCCTTTTTTAGCTGAAATACATAATTCTTTTTAATATATTCATTTTTAGATATTATAGTAGTTATATTTTTTTTTTTAATAAATATGATAGTTCCTAAATTTATGTTTTACTTTTAATTTAATCGTGATACGTATCAAAATCTTAATCGAAAATTTTGATTTGTGGCACCATCATGTGAATTACTAACATATAAAATTTGTTAAATATTTCAAATAAAGATTAGCTTTCTCCTATATTATGCTTATGCAATTCTGATTGTTTTTTCATCAATTCATTAGTTTCTCATCTTATTTGTTTCAAGTCTAAGAGAAAAAATCAGCCTAGTAAAATTATAAGAGATTTAATATGTTTATAAAGATGTGAGTAATATTTTCCTTTCTTTTTAGGATTAGATTTTACTTTTTTGAAAAAAGTTTTCTTTTCTTAGTTGAAATATTTATATTTTTAGATATTAGTGGTTATATTTTCTTAATTTTTTTTAACAATAATGATATTTCTTAAATTTATATTTATTTTAAATTGTTATCGAGACATGTGTTAAAATCTAATCGATTAACTTGACACGTGTCACGATCTTATGAATTACTAACTTTGACGCATCTAACTTTATTATTATTTAAGATTATTCAAGTAGTTGAGTTATGATTGATTTGTTTGTATTTTACTTAAACTCAACTATACCAAACAAAAACTAAACTGAATCAGATCAAAGCGAATTAATTGATAAGTTCAGCTTAAGCAAATGCCTCAGCAGCATATCAGGCTTTATTGTGTAAATATGTAAATTTACTAAGCCCAGTAAGCTTTCTTAAGTGAAACTGGGCTTCTTATCTCAAATCTTTAATTCGAACTTTAGCCCACAAGCCCATAATTCAGATATTAGAAAACCCTAATCTCACGCGCACCTATATATAAAAAACTTGTGTTTCCGCTAGGTTTTACTGAATCGAAAATGGCAGAAAGAGGTGGAGAGCGCGGCGCTGAGCGTGGCGGTGACCGTGGTGGTTTCGGACGCGGATTCGGCGGCCGTGGCGGAGGAAGAGGCGGTCCTAGAGGCCGTGGACGTCGTGGAGGCCGTGCTACAGAAGAGGAGAAATGGGTCCCTGTCACCAAGCTTGGTCGTCTCGTGAGAGATGGTAAAATCAAGCAGATAGAGCAGATCTACCTCCATTCTCTCCCCGTGAAAGAGTACCAAATCATAGACCTCCTCGTGCCTTCGTTGAAAGACGAGGTAATGAAGATCATGCCTGTGCAGAAACAAACCAGAGCTGGTCAAAGGACGAGGTTCAAGGCCTTCGTCGTCGTCGGAGACGGTAACGGTCACGTCGGATTAGGTGTGAAATGCTCCAAGGAGGTTGCGACGGCCATTAGAGGAGGGATTATTCTCGCGAAACTCTCTGTGATTCCGGTGAGGAGAGGTTACTGGGGAAACAAGATCGGGAAGCCACACACTGTGCCTTGCAAGGTTACCGGAAAGTGTGGATCTGTCACAGTGAGGATGGTTCCAGCTCCAAGAGGTGCTGGTATTGTGGCTGCTAGGGTTCCTAAGAAGGTTCTTCAATTCGCTGGTATTGATGATGTCTTCACTTCCTCCAGAGGATCCACCAAAACCCTCGGAAACTTTGTTAAGGTCTGTAAAATTTCTTCCTCTTAGCAGATATTTGTGATACATTTGTGAATTTTCGTTACGTAGTTGAAGAATCTGGAAATAGGAATGTAGAGCACATTTGATTGCTTGCATCTGTGCGGATGATGTGATAAGACTTCACATTTGCATCTTTGTGATTCTTAGTATATTTGTACAGGATTTTAGCACAGATCCTCGCAATTAATTCTTGATTCCTAATTAACCTCAAGCTGTAGTTGTAAATGTTAATTGCAATTTGTAACTTTCTTAGTGCAGATCTTTTTGATTATGTGAAATTCAATTGCTTGCTTAAATACGATATGATTTATTGATCTTGGGTTTGATGTTGTAATGTTGTGACGACACAGGCTACATTCGACTGTCTTCAGAAGACATATGGGTTCCTTACACCAGAGTTCTGGAAAGAGACAAAGTTCCAGAAATCGCCATACCAAGAGTTCACCGATCTCTTGGCTAGTAAGGAAGTTGCTGCAGCCAAGCCTATCACCGAGGGTGAAGACCAAGCTTGAGATTATACAAAATCTTCATGAGGTTTAGTATTATCTGCTAAGAAATCGTTTTATCATTACGGTTTGGATGTTGCAAATGCTTTTCTGTTGTTTTCCTTTTTGGTCTGTCGATTTTGATATTGGAGATTTTATTTAAGGACATCTACTTTAGTTCTGTCTTAATACTTTTGCTGCAAGTCATACTTATGAATAGCATTTTCAGTAACGTATGGGGTTTTTAGTAAAATTTATCTTCATTGCTTTGTTTATCTTAGTCCTTGTATTGTGTTCGATTTGATATTAGTCCACCTGAAGTATAAAATCTTATGAAAATTTTGATTACATTATATTATTTTGCATTCAATTGCAAAACAAAAGGTTTTTGTTAGCGTATTTCATGAAATATTTGGTGGAGTGATTTGGTTTTGAGTCGAGCTTAAACTTGTGTTATCAAAGTGACTTATAAGTTATAACGAAGAACAAAGAAAAGCTCTGGTATGTGAAGTTCTCTTCCCGATTTTCTCCAATCCAATATTACTTCCATGGAGAGACACGTTACATAAGGTTTTTCGAAATGGCGGGACAAGCATGATGAGAGTTCTTTGTAATTTCCATTTCAATTATTTCAAATTTTTGTCTAAATTTTTACATTCTCACGCATTTACATTATTATTATTAGGATAATTAGGATATTGGCACGCATATGCGGATATGAACAATTTTAAAATTATAATTATTTAAATACAATACATAAATCTGTTTTAGATATTTTAATTTTTTTGTAGTTTATGAAATTCAAGGTTAGTGTTTTGAATTATAAGATTTTAAATTTAATAGTAAAATATGATCTAATTTTAACTAAATATTTTGTTATAATAAAAGGTTCATTTATATTTTGAGACAGACTTGAAAAATAATAATTAAATTTGGAAAACATAAAAAAAAAATTTTTTGATGAACAGGAACAGATTTTGTAAAACTTAACCTGCTATGTTAGAGGGTCAAATGGATCAAACTCGTGGATAGTTGGTTACTTTCTTCGGATTTGTGGAACATGCTGGAAATTTTATCTTCTCTGTCTTTTTTTCTTTGAACAAACATTTTTTCATTTTCTTTGTCTTCCTATAATCTTCTTCAATTTAAAACATTATTTCTTCAAGAATTCCGTCATTGTTGGTCTTGATCTACTCATATGTGCGATTTTTCTACTTATAATTATATTACGTAGACTCTACAAATAATTGCAAGACATATTTCAACCCTATTGCAGGACATATTTCAGCGAATGTTAGATATAAAACTTCGTTTACTGTCCTGAAATTTTTGAAGCATACTGGTCCTCTCTGAACATTTAGCAATATTTTAAGGTAGAAAAGCTCACTATATTCTTCTAAAACTTCTGCAAGGCTGATATCTTAAGAAACATTTTTTTTTTGTTGCGCAAACGAGGGAGCCACTTCTTAATTTTTTTATACCAAATCCATTTGTTTAGAAATTCAGTGTAGCGATGAAACCTTGCTTCATTACACTCATGATAGGAGTCTATCCAACATTCAAGTTTCATTTTAGATATATTCAATTTAGGTAAATGGATTGGTAGAATTGTCATGTCCGCACTTTGAGTTAGAGTTTGATTTGTTTGATACTCATGTATATTGTGATGTTTTCTTATATAAGGACCCGAGTATTTAACTTTTTATTGCGTAATTATTTGGGATGAACGTGACTATATGGATTTTTTTGTTTTTATTAAATGGACATTAAACTTTTTAATAATGTAGAGGATTAAAATTTTGGTTTTTATTAGATGCACGTTGATTTTTTTATCTAATGTTTGTTAAGAAAAATAACGTAGAGGATTATTAAATCGAAATCTTATATTAATATTTGTTATTATTTTTAAGCTAAACTAATTTTAAATTTTGAATGTTCTACAGAAGATCACAATAATATCTTATTTTGTTATTATAATTTTGCCAACTGAACTATGTGAAAACATATGTACACGTAAATAGAGCACCGCCTTTACAGAAAATATAAATTATTAGGTAAACGATTTGTTTAATGTGATTTTGTTATTATAATTTTGCCTACTGTGAAGTATATGAAAACATATGTGCATATATTCTATATGAATATAGTATTATAATATATATGTAGATATGTGTACATCTGGAAAGTCACAGTGATCCACGACAGAGCTATAATAAATTTTATAGGTGTATAATATAGTATTATCCATAATATTATAATATATATATGTATTAAAATCATCACGTTCAGCCCAAAATTCATCTAATATTACCCATATAGATTAATAATATCAGGCCATTCGTAGTGCATCCGGCAAATAATTCCAGATTTAGTTATTAGTACATTAAATTTTGTCATCTAATTAGTTTTATTTATTTATGAAAATATCACAAAAAAAATTTGCTATGTCATCAACCACATATGTTAGTAAATGCCATACAATTACATCATCATTACACATCATCATTTCCATGTCACATTTATTTAGGATAGACAAATGATCTTAACCAATCAGATTAAAACAAATCAGCATTTTTCATTAAACTATATTCTCAATTAATAGGTAGAAGATGCTAAATTCTTGACTTTATTTTTAAGATATTGTATATCTAGGTTTACTAAAACCATTTTATGGCCGAAAATTGTTAGAGATGAGATTCGTACCGTCTCTAACAAGCCCGATATGAATTCTAGTCGGCCCGTCTAACAAGTTCCAGGTCGGCAACATAAAAGGAAATCTTCCATTTATCGAGCGACCCGGGGAAAAAGGAAACTCCTTGCCGACAAGAGTTTCCTATTCCAAACAGGTTAAAGACCGACCTGATCGGCTATAAATGCAGGAAGTCCTCGACTCCTAAAACTATCCAAAAAAATCATCAATCGAGACCTACAGCAAAACTTAGCGATCAGACTGTTCTAGTTTTCGATTTACTTCCTTAAACAGTTTTAGGTCGGCGTTCTTCTTCCGACGACCTAAAACACCATTGTATTCAACCAAGCTCCGGCTTCTTCTAATAAAGATCTCTTTAAAACCTTCAAACCCTAGTTCTTCTATAAGTCGGACTTGAGTTTTTACAGTTGGCGCTGTCTGAGGGGATTAAAAGAGCAATCTTTGACTTAGAACGGAGTTCGAAGATGGTTGAAACACCGATCAACACTACCGACCTCACCGGAGGAGCCTCCGATCCGACAAGAAACATTCAAGATCCGATCATCGACCCAGCCACGGGGCTTCCGGTGGCCCACCAGACCGATCAGGAAGACAACACAACTAACGCACAGAACACCGGGGGAACAGACCAGGTCGGTCAGACGGGTGGCACAAACACGACCAGCCTGCCACAGCCACCTCCCATCGACATGGCCACGATCATCAGGTCGGTTGCAGCACAGTTGCAATAGGGGATGGACGCTCGCTTCGAGTCCCTCCGAGCCGAGCAGATAGCTTACAGAGAAGACTTGGATCGGCTTATAAACTCCAGGGTTCATACCCAAGAGCAGGCCGATCTTATCACCCCCCTTCGCCCTTCGATCCGCAACACAGATACGACCAGGCTGGTCAACAACCTGTTTGGCACGACACCAACGGACGACTTACGGAGAGCACAGGCAGAAGGCTCGCATGCTCGCTCATCTCGAAATATCGCCGGAACCGACCCGACGACAACCTCGGAACTCGATCTTCTCCACCAACGCCTTGATGATATCCACAGCAAGATCCACAAGGCGACGACTTCAGCTCCCGAGTTGGATAAGATCCTTCAGGAGACGCAGCAAACCCCGTTCACGTCGGCTATCACCAATGCTCCTCTTAAAGACATAGGTCGGATGAAGCTGCCTCCGAGTTACTCCGGCACGACAGACCCGAAGCGACATCTGACCGCATTCAACGCAGTCATGGGACGTGCTCGCTTCACCGATGAGGAGCGGGAAACATGCCTCTGTCAGTACTTCATGGAGACGCTCTCCGGAAGCGCCCTCACCTGGTTCTCACAGCTTCCCAAGAACTCCATCGACAGCTTCAAGGAGCTCACAGCTCGTTTCCTGAAGCATTATATGATTTACATCGAGACGGAGTCTACAGCGCTCGATCTATGGGCATGCGTCCATGGCGACACAGAACCACTGCGCGATTTTATCGATCGATTCCGATCAATCGTCTCCCAGTGCAGTCTGTCGGACGAACTGTGTTTCAACATTCTTATCAAGAATTTGAAGGATGATTCATCGTTTTGCGAACGATTGAAGACAGGAAAAACCAAAACCCTCGAAGATGCTTTGCACAAGGCATCCGGGTACATCAGAGTCGAGGAGGATCGGGCAGCTAAGGCCAAGGCCAAGTTGGCCGATGAGAAATCTTCGCGTGACAAGAAAGGCAGATCGTCGAGTCATGAAGATTACAAAGAGCCCCGTCAGCACTACGACAAGGATGACAAGAATCGCAAGAGCATCAACGCAGTTGGACGACAAAAAATGCCATGGAACGTATGGGACCGCTTGAGCGACAGAGACCCCGACAGCAAAAAGCCGTGGTGCAAATACCATCGGGCGCACGGTCATCATACCGATGATTGCCGCACCCTCCCAGCCCTCTTGAGGAAGAGGTGGGACGATGGCGAGATCACCCTTCCAAAACCCCGGAGTTCACGACGATCCGACGATGAAGACAGGCAACCCGATGACGATCGCGATAGAAGAGATAACACCGATCGCTCTTCTAAACGTGAGGGCAAGGAAGCAAAGCGTGACCGTGAAGACGATCACTCACCTCCAAGCTCACCACGTCGGCGGATCAACATGATCAAGGGAGGGCTTTTCTCGTGCACCGACTCGATAAATTCAATTAAACGGCACGAACGAAAGGCAGCCAATCCCCCGAAGGACGCACCATTACTGTTCAAGGATGACCTACCGATCACATTCACAGAGCAGGACGCGCATGACATCGACCGACTTCATAACGATCCACTCGTCATCTCACTATGACT